ATGGGTATGATGGTTTGCTTCCAGATGGTGTTTGGTGCAGGCTAAATCATGTTAGGCTGGGTTCTAACTGTGTTTAATAGCTTTGAAATGCATGTTTTTGTTTTTTAACTGAGTTTGTGTATTGGGCTTTAACTCGGAGGGGGGGGCGTTTATGATGTTTTTATCCCTACAGCATTTATTGTTTCGTTAGCTGCCTTGAGTTTGAAAAGATCTCGGGTTGCCCAGCAATGCTCCCTCTAAGCTGAGGAGTCTTGTGAGCAAAAATTCTACTTTGTGAGCTCCTGGGGCATTAAAGCTGTGAGCGAGCGATTTGGCTGCTGCAGGAATCAGTTTTCTCTGTGTGAGTCGGAGGCTCAAAAACTGTGAGCTAACTCACACTTACTCAGCTTAGAGGGAACACGGCTGTCAGGTCCCTCCTGACAAATGGTGGGGGATGGGAGGAGCTTACCTGGAGTGGGACGGAGGCCCAAGTGATGTCGTCAGCCATGTGGCTACACCACTTCCGCCGTGAGCGGAAAGTGACATCCTGAGGAATTTCACATTACCCTTTTTAACCCGTTTTGAAGCCGTTTTTTATCTGTCATGGAGTAAACCGGTATAGGGCTGCCATTTCACACATGGCTTTCCCCTTCCGGTAAAGAGCTGGATCTGAAGCGGTTTGCCATTTCAGACTGCATTGCTTTTTCCCGCTTTTCCCCCGCTGTTTTTCGCCCGTGCGGACAATCTCCAGCTTTTTTTTTAACGTTCACTTTATAGCGCTATAGCACTATAAGAAAACACTCCAGGCATTCCAATGGCGCTGATATACTGCTGTTCCATTACAGCGTTATAATCCTATAACGCCATAAAGTGAACGTTAAAAAAAAAAGCTGGAGATCGCCTGCGCGGGCGAAAAACGGCGGGGGGAAAAGCGCATCGGAACCGGGAGAGAAAACTGAAGACTACTTGGAAGCAGTTGACAGGTAAAACACTTCAGCCCCGTTTCCTAAATGAGACAGAAGCGTTTGTGTCTGAAATTACGAATATATTCCAGTAGGGAACCGGTTCTAAAATGGTTCTGTCTGAAATGACAGACCAGAAACCGTTTGGGAACCGTTCCTGAACCGGAATATATCGTCTGTCTGAAATTCCTCCCTGTCACGCCATCAGGGTGACCCTCTGGTATCTGGGCCAAAACTCTATGGTACAAATGGCTTCTACCATAGAGTTTTGGCCCAAATGGTAGAGCATAACCCAGATGTCACCGACATGATGACATCACTTCAGGTGCATCCTGGAAGTGACATTGTCACCAGTGTTCCCTCTAAGTTGAGTTATTGTGAGCTAGCTCACAGTTTCTTAGCCTCCAGCTCACACATTGTTCAGGAAGGATGGGGCTCCAGAGCAAACTCATTCATGCAGGAGCCAACTCGCTCACTCACAGCTTTAATGCCAGGAGCTCACAGAGTAGAATTTTTGCTCACAAGACTCCACAGCTTAGAGGGAGCATTGATTGTCATGTTGCTGGCAACAAAGTCTGGGTCTCCCTCTCTCTCCCGGTAAGTCCCCCCACCAGTCAGCTGACCAATGGCAGGGGGCGGGGCCTGGCCACAAGGGGCCCCACCTCCACTGGGGGGGTGTCTGGAAACCCTACAGATATCAGGTGGGTGTGAACATTTAAGTAAACAAAGCGGAGCAGCTTATACATCAGAAGAACCCATTCTAGACTCCTTTTGTTCTGCTTAGTACAAGCTCTGCTATAGAGCACTTCAGAGTGTTAAAACACATGTTGTCCTCCCTCATCCTCCCCGCCGCCTGCTTGGCCGTGCTGTTGTTTTCTACCTTCTTATCAGGTAATCTTGACTCAAGTGTTGAAGTCTGGGGATATTCAGGGCTTTGTTGTGTATCATGCCACTGGATATTTCGGTGCCGTGGCCAGCTTTGGAGAACTTCTGAGTGTTCAGGATAGGCTGCAAGGCCCCTTCTCGGTACGTCTCGGCTTTCCATTGGATTCGGTACTTGACCAAGGTTAAAACAACCCACTCGGGAAGCAGAAGTGAATCAGTTTTCTTCTTCATGATGGCAGGAAGCATGCCTCTGTGTGCCTATTGAGGAGGGTGACTAATAGCCCAGAAATAGAACGCCATCACCTTGAACGAGCAATGAGTGTTCTGAAGCTCATGAGAATTGCCGGCCACAGTTAAAACGATTTGCTGGGGAGGGCGCTAATCAAGAAGCATTTTGGAAGGGACCGGCATTGACGTCCGAGTCATCAGGAAAGATTTGTTGAGGAGTCTACCAATGTCCCCTCTAAGCTGTGGTGTCTTGTGAGCAAAAATTCTACTTTGTGAGCTACTGGCAGTAAAGTTGTGAGCAAGTGATTTGGCTACTGCAGAAATTAATTTGCTCTGGAGCCATCCTTCCTGAGCTGAGACAAAAATGTGTGAGCAGGAAGCTAAAAAACTATGAGCTAGCTCACGCTAACTCAGCTTAGAGGGAACATTGGAGTCTACTAAGCTAGAAGTTGCTTTCAACACATGTGCCCATAGTCAGCAACCTCTGGCCCTACATGGGGCACAAGGGCGCCTGCCAAGACCTTTCCTGGGGCTTGCCAAAGGTTTTTAGAAAGTGGGCAAATTCAGGTGGGGCTATTGGCCATTGGGCATTTGATTGGCTGCCCAGATTTTTTTAAAAAAAAAATAAACATTGCTTTGGCAGCTGCTGCCACCACAGCACAAGGATCTTTGTGGTGTGACTTGTGGCAGCCATTTTGTAGCTGGGTCCGCCTTCTGAGGCAGCCATTTTGTGACTGTACCCACCACACCGTGTCAGAATCCCAAAGGTTGGCGGACCCTGCTCTAGAGCAAAATGTGGTTTGGTACAGGACTAAAGGTGGCCCTTTAGAAAAGAGAATTAAAGATTTGATTTGCTTTCTTCAGGCAGCCGTACCGGAGGTATGTATTGGAGGGTCAGGTGGGACGCTACAGTAATCATGATGTGAAGAGAATGTCAGGCAAAGATTTTAATGGCTCTAAAGGGCTTCTCATAGATGCTTTGCAGAAAGGGAAGCGAGAGAGATGAGCAGTTGTAAGCAATCCAAGTGATGAACCGTGTGCGAATGTCTGCCCGTGCACTGAAATAAACATGCGGAATGCTTCTGTGCATATTTATTACTATTTGTGAGAACCCCTTCCTAATAAAAGTGTACCCCTTCCTAATAAAAGACTTGCAGCAACCAAGGTTTTGGCTGCAGAACCTTTTGGGATTATTAATTGACATGACAATTATCCGTCATGTTTAATTGTATATTTTCAGGAGGGTTGCCGAGTCTGGGTTGGAAAACTCCTGGAGACTTGGGGGGCCAGAGATCGAGGATGGTGGAGTGAGGTTGAGGAGGGGAGGGATACGTTGCCTTAGAGCCCGTCCACCAAAGCGGCCATTTTATCCTGGAGGATTGACCTCTGTAGTCTTTAAACCCTTCGTAAGTCCAGGAGGACTCCAGCCCCCACCTGGAGGCTGAAACAACCCGAGCTGCAGTGTTAGGAGAGTCTAGTAACAAATAAATACACACCGCAAGAACCTTTTAGCAAACTAATGTGTTCTATTTATGGTCATCATTTATCATCAGCAGCATAGTGTGTCATTATTTCATCCTAGTCAGGTATAAATATTCATTATATTCAATAAGCAGTAACAGTCAGTACATGCAGATTGCTAACTACCAGACAATTTTGCATCAGTGTTTTTTGCCGGTCCTACAAAAGACACATTTATTTATTTATTTATTTATTTATTTATTATTTACATTGGATTTATATACCGCCCATGACCCCTAATGGGTCTCAGAGCGGTTTACAGTGTACTACTAGTATAGTAGTAGTTAACCTACCTAGGGCCACACATTTCACAGGGGGGGGACTACCTACCGACACCCTATTTGGCGGCGCGTTATGTCTTCTTCCGGCGGGCTACGGGTATTGTTCTGGCGTCTTCGGGTTAACCGGTGACCATCTTGGGCAGGCTCGATGTTTCCTCCTCTGCTTGCGACTGCTTTCCGGCTGCAGCTTCCAGCTTACATCCTTCAGGCTCCTGCCGTGCTGCGCCGTCTTGCGCCCGCATCGCATTGTGCAGCTAACATTCATGGACGGAGTTATGCAAATTTTATTATATTTGTCAAAAGTTCAGTGGCATCTAAGGTTGCCAGGTCCCACCTGGCAACCGATGGGGGATGGGGGGGCTTCCCGGGAGCCCCATCCGACGTACAGCGAGGTGTCTATGTCACTGCCCACATGACCCGGAAGTGACATCACGTCTAGGACAACAGGGCAATCCTCTGGTATTTGGGCAAAAACTCTGTGGTGAATCTGGCTTCTACCGTAGAGTTTTTGCCCAAATACCAGAGGGTCGCCTTGTCATCTCAGATGTGATAATGTTACTTCCAGGTCACATGGGCAGTGACATAAACACATCGCCACATGTCAGATGGATCTCCCTCTTTTTTGGGTAAGTTCCTCCCCCCTGCTGGCCAGCTGATTGGTGGTGGAGAGGTGGGGCCTGGTGGCAGGGGACCTCCGCCTCCACAGGGGGGTGTGTGTGTGTGTCTGGCAACCCTCGTGGCACCACAAAGACTATCAACACCTATATTTCAGTGCAAGCTTTTGTGAACCACAGCTCTCTTCTTCAAATAGGCAAAACAAAGATCCTCCTGGGAATTCTCATGGGGAAGATTACTGAGGCAGAGAGGCTTGGTGTGAATTCTGCCATGAATCTTTCCAGTGTAAATTATCTGTGTAAGAGGGAAAGTAGGAGAGGAGCTGAGGTAGAAGGGATCGGTGTGAATCCCATCAGATTGGCTCTTTGCTGATCTCTCGATCCGGATTTTGACCTACTTTGGCTCTTCAACTCTGAGAGGTTGCCAGCCCCTGCTATGAGCCCCAAATGCCCAACAGGGCAGAGGGCGAGGGGGTTGGCTTCATTCATGCTCAGTGTGTTCCTTCCTGTTTGTTCCCTCTTGCAGGCTTGCCGGCCGGGCAAAGGCAGACGCTTGACTCGGGGCTCCTGCCAACACACTCGCAGCCACAATGGCCGAAGACGCTGACATGCGCAATGAGTTGGAAGAAATGCAGCAGCGTGCTGACCAGATGACTGATGAGGTGAGGCGCTCGGGGACAGAAACGGGGACACAAGAACTCCGTGGAGCCGGCGGCCTACAGGAAAAGAGCCTCCAAAACAGTGGAGAATCGGCCGGTCCTTTTGGTCCAACCAGGGGTCATTCCGTAGAAAAAGAGCTGCAGGAGCTCATTAGCATATTGAATAGGCTATTAGCATAGCAGCTCATTAGCATATGCCACGCCCCCTGACATTACCGGAAGTGCTGTCAGAAGGGGAAGCAAAAAGGGGGTGGGGCATCTTCAAAAGCCTCCCCTCCCCTTCCCCAGCCGGCCTGCCAAGGCGGGCTGGGGGGGGGGGAGCGAAGAGAGAAGGGGGTTAAACTTTAAACCCCTTCTCCCCTTCTCTCTAGAATCATGCCGCAGCGGCAGCACGATCTTTCCATTGCATTCTATGGGTCCAAGGAATACAATGGAAAGACCGTGCCGCTGCTGTGGTGCGACTCTAGAGAGAAGGAGCGCGGAGGTGGGGAGCTGGGGGCGGGGCTTGCCGCCACCGCCATTTCTGCCTGCTCCTGGGCTGCCAGAGCAGCGCTCCGGCATGCTTCTGCCCCAAATGACCCCTGGGTCTGATGTTTCCATCCCGGCCGCCCTTTTCACTGGATATCCAGCCTTACCGTTGGCTGATCACAGTTGAGAAGAGTCCGTTTCGTGAGGGCGGCTGGGCCTGTACTTACCGGGTCCATTCCAGCGGGGTCATCCCAGCACAGGATTCTGTAGCAGCTGGGGAACCTAAATTCCTTTCAGCGAGTGTTCACTTGGCAAACTTTTTAATGGAGAATGAAGCACGGCCGTGACGGCTTTATTTGGAGCCCGTCATCTGTACCCTTTTCTGAACATAATACCTGGGATCCTGTGCCTTTGTTCGGCGTGCGCTTCTCTTCCTCTGCCATGGAGCGCCCTTCCTCTGGTGCGAGGCATTTTTCATTTGTGCAAGACCACCAAGGCTCAAAGTGCCTTGCGTGGGAAGAACGTATGAAGGACCGCCTCTGCAGCAGATGAAGGGATACGATCCGAGGGATAGGATCCAAGCCAGTGAGGTTATTTCCCATCCCTCCTTATGACGTCCTACTGGGACTTACCGGTGACGATCACAGAGGTGCCGGGGCGTGGCTGCACTTCTCACGCGAGGCTCATTTGTTCCTGTGGGACTTGTTCCTAGGGGGAACCCGATCGGGTGGAAAGGCGGCGCAAGAAAGCGTTTTAAACAAATGAAGACATTTTGCCTGTCCCTCAAAAGCCACCACTGTCGACAATATTGCTAATTTCAACCCCTTCCAACCCCGAGCACTGAGAACTTTGGCGGAAGGATTTCCCTTGCCCCTTCAGCTTCAGTCCTGGGTGGAAGACCTTTAGCTATCCCCAGGGGTCATTTCGTAGAAAAAGAGCTAGGGGAACTCATTAGCATAGCTCATTAGCATATGTCACACCCCCTGACATCACCGGAAGTGTGTCATAAGGCCACACCCCCTGACATCACCGGAAGTGTGTCATAAGGCCACACACCCTGCCCCCAACGGTCCCAGCCGCTGCCGCCTGCAAGTGGACCTGCAAGGCCGGCGGGAGTGCAAGGAAGCCCCGCGAAGGCCCTCCCTGGCCCCAGGCAGGCAGGGGTGGGGAGAGGCAGGGAGGAAGCAACTTACCCTCCCTCTTCTCCTGCCTCCACCTGGCTGAATGAGGGCCGGAAGCAGGGGGCGGGGCTTCGTCATGTGCCCCACCCTCCGTACCTCACCCGGGGGAACTGCGATCCCCC